TACTTTGCACACGGGAGTCAAAAATAGCTAGCTGACTAAATCAGTCAAAGCATGTTTGAAAAATGGTAAAGACGCATGGATGTGCAACCAGTATACACCATATCACAATTCTGAATCACAGTGCATTATGGGATAGTTTTACTGAATCAAACACAACTCTGGAAATCACAAAACACATCGGCTCATGCAACCTGACAACAATCCCACAATGCATTATAATTTAGAATTGGTCTATACAAAACAAATGGATGTGAATCAGTAACTCACCATGCAAAACATTCATGCTCAGATTGAATAAAACCGTTCAAATTGTCACCAGTTGGCCATCAAAATGAACTCTACCTGCCTCTCAACAGGAACATACATTTTGTAGACAAGTAAGATTAAAAGTTAATGTCTACTAACCTGTCATTTTCTGGTTAGTGAACATAATATTATCCTCAGATATAGGCAACAAAGACGTTTTTTTTGAACCATGTCTGGTAGGTTGTTGACCTGCAGGAGCCATTTTAACAAGATCTGTAAACAAAATAATAGAACATGAGAGAAACCTTTCTGGTAATTAAAGCCATTTGTGAAGTAAGATGGGCAGACTGGAAGGGTGGCTATTCATATTCAGGGAGCTAACTGTCTGTCTACTAAAATAAAATAACAAAATAAACAAACCGCCTCTGTGTCTACTCCCCAAAAAAACCGCCCAAACACTCCAACTCCCCTTCCAACAAAATTTTCCCGCCCTCCCCTTGCCGCTACAATGCCCTACAAGTTGTCGCAAATTTCCCCTCTACTATTTTTTCAAAATAGTACCAATTTCTCAGTCCCATTTCGAAGTCCCGTCTCGCGACCTACCCCTTCTCACGCCCTCTACGCCCCGACAACAACAACAACTACACATACTCCAAACACACTGTGTAGTTCCCCTAACCAATTAAAATTTATAATACAAATTAAACTAAACATTTCAGCTCGGCGCCTAACCAACCTACCCAATAAAACCTCCCAACAACCATGGAAAAATGATAAGCGTTCTAAAATTATTATTATTATTTCTTTGACATACTGGCTTCCCCGTTCTCCCCTTGTTGTTACTGTCAACCACAACAACAACGTCGTCTCGCACCCCCGCTCAACACCGTCTACCCTCCCCTCGCCTCGCCAGTCCCTGTTATTTCCTCCCCTTTATTTCGATATTTCACACTCCATTAAAATTCAATACTCCCCTTAAACACCCCCCTCACACCTAATTCAACGTTCTACAAGTATGTTTAAGTGACCACTTGCATTTATTCAGCCCGATAAATTGCAAGCCACTTCTCTTGGCCGTTCCCCTACACTGTGTTTATAGGTGACCACTCTCTTTAAGCAAAAAAAAATAAATAAGATACATGTAACAAGGGATGTTACCGTCAACAGTGATTGACAAGAGCTTATTTTTTCTTCCCTGTTCATGAAATCTTGTTCATAGCTTGGCATACAATCAGTACTCATCTGTTTTTGTTAAATAATTATGTATGATCATTCTTTCAGAATGTCCTGGAACTGGCCAAAATGTGTTCATGATATCATAAAAAGTATCTACCGGATTCTGCTGATACCCCGCCCTGGGAGATCTTATGGAGGATTCGATTTTTTTTTAGAAAAATGTGGACCAAAAGATCGCCCGGACGATCTTTTGGCAGATATTACAAGGCCCATGTTGTCTGGAAAAACAACCCTGCGTTGATAAAAATGATCTAGAAAAAAATGGTCTAGAAAAAATAATGTTTCGCGTTAAATATAATCATGCAAAGTATAAATTCAAAGTGTTTTAATACATTGGTGAGAGGTCGCATTTTACGTGAACAAGAACATGCACTAAGAAGGAAAAGCAAGTCAAAGTCGAAACGGGGTGCATCAAGGACATGACACAACACACGCTGCGACAACTGGGTGATCAGCAGCATCATTTTGGGACGCAATTAACTTCAAGTACTTTACGAAACTTGCTGCGCAGCGATGCTGGCATCAAGTGTGTGTTGACCGAAGTTTGACCCCAAGTCACACACTGAACTGGCGCGTTACCTTAGCAGCCTTTTTCTTTTGTGGTCCGCGCGTCGATCTAGTGAAATTGTTATTATATCCGACGATACTGTAATTATGCAACTCTGTACTGGCTTTGAATATATCAACGTCGTTTACTTAGTGCACTGCTTTTCTAATTACACATTGAAATTTGTTTACAATATTGTACCAGCTCTGAATATTTCAACTTTGTATTGCTTTCATGATAATTACGCAAACTCAAGTTAATTTTTACTATTGTTAGGATGCTGACCCGGGGTATTGGGTCTGTGAATATTTCAATATTATCGACTTGATAATGCGTTGCATTCGTAATAATTACGCAAACATCAACATGGATGCATTTAAATCATTAAAAATGATAGTAGTCGGGTATCTACGGAAAGTCAAGAAAATATTTTAAATACTTGTGATTCATCGATGTTCCAATGGAGATTTTTTTCATTCAAATATAAAACATACCATGGTGTCAAGTTAAATTTTACTATAATAAACTCTGGACAGCGCACTTTGATCGCAATATTCACGTACATTTCGACTGAACTCTAATAACCACGCGTTTGAATTACGTGCGGCATTGGGCAATGACCTAAAGAGTTCACACACTGATATTTAAATTGGGGCAATCCAGCATCAGCTAACTGGGGGTTAACTGAAAGGGAACGTCTTTTTTGGACAAAAAACACGTCAGTACAAAATTATGTGTACAAGGTTAAATTTATAGAACATACATGACCGCTTAACTCAGTGTTTTAATAATCATGTCGCATGTGAAACGCAGGAGACATTTTAGATCGCCCTTTTCTTGTTTACCGACTTTTTGTCTGGAATGCAATACAGACAAAGATTAAACATTGCTGATACAACCAAGAGGCTCAAATCAGGAAAGCTTGGATATTATTTTAAACTTCGTAAATAACATTCTTTTCTAGCGTAGACTTTATTCAAGTGAAATAAACGTAAGTGAAATGTATTCTAACGAGTCATAATACGCAACAACAATTCGTATACAGCATTGGTTTTATTGAAGTTTTAATGCTTTTCGACTTCACAGTGAATTATTTTAGCGTCATAATTGAAATAGCGCGCTCGATACAAGATGTCGACGGGAAAATTTGGGTCTGTAAAAATGTTTGTTGGTTCAGTCAGGCAATGTGTGGACCAAAACATCGCACACTAATTTAAACATCGCCCATGGGTGGGGTTTAGGATGGGCAGGGTATCAGCCGAATCCGGTAGGACTTGCGTATGAGAAAAGAAAGTGGGCAAATGTCAATAGTGATTGTACATGTCCATGCTGCAAGAAAAGTGATGAAACTCTAGAACAAAGAACATAGGGATATTATGATGAAAAATATTAGTCATATTCTATGTAAAAATGGTGAAACAAATCTTTATGAAGATATTACAAAGGGCAAAGCATTACTATGTTTCCTTTTAGGTGATAGCACTCAGCATTAAAATTATGGGATATGTAAATAAATTGATAGAGTTGTGAAAAGATTTCTTATTGATACCATGGATTATAGAAAAGATTATGTAGATTAGATTCATTTCCTCTATTTACTTTAAGTTTAAAAGATTCATTTACTGCAGCTCTTAATTATTTATTAATGAGCCCCTGATGTAAAATAAAACAAGCCATGCATGGCACAGTCTCCCTTAGTTATCAAATTTAAAATATATAGTTTTGTTTATAGTAATATAGTTGGAACATAAACATGTCAGAAGTATGGATCCAGAAGATGATGCTTGATTATGATGGTTTTTTAACATTAGATTTGATTGACATCTTGTATCTGATCATCAAGCAAGTACTTGTCAATATTGAGAAATATTGCTCTGGAATAGCATAAATTAAAACAAAATGGCCGCCAGTCGGCCATTTTGAATATCTATAACATGATGTAAAACGAATATATAAAATTTGAACATAATCAGTCAAAGCACATCAGAGATAAGGCTCTAGAAATGCATTCATTTTAACAAAATGGCCACCAGTCAACCATTTTGAATCCGATCTTAAAAATAAAATGACATGCATCAGAAACCCCTAATCTCGAATGTATGTACCAATTTTGAACAAAATCCATCCATAAACGCCAAGATTCAGTTCTGGAATGTCAGAAATACTTAATTTTTTATGATGTTTAGCACAAAAAACGGCTGCAAATTTGGCCATTTTGAACCAGATAGTCAAACCAATATATCTCTGTCACGATGTATAATGAATATATAAAATTTGAACATGAGCAGTCAAAGCATGGCAGAGATATGGCACTAGAACTGCATTCATTAAAACAAAATGGACGCCAGTCGCCATTTTAAATTGGATCGGAAAATTAAAATGATGTGCATCAAGGTTCCATAAAGTCCACAGTAAGTACCAAGTTTAAACAAAATCCATCCATAAATGATTAATTTTGATGATTTTTTAGCACAAAAATGGCCACCATTCGGCCATCTTGAATTAGATCGTGAAACAAATTGATGTGCATATGTATAATATTATGTATGATGTATGTGCAGTGTACTGGTAGGAAATTCCTGCCCGTTCACACGCCCAAGACTGGTAACTTTCGTATCAGACTGGTTGAATTTCAAACTTCCATGTCCGTTGGTCGGGTAACATTTGACCACATTCTTCCGCTGAAATAAAAATAAAAACAAACTACCATTCTTTATTTGTGCTCTAAACATTTTAAACAGAAACGTGATCAGCCAAAACAAAGAAAATATTGCATTACCGTTGCACAACGCGACTGGCCGACACGGATTCTCAACCCACAACACGAAATCCATTGACTTATTAACATAATAATAGGTACGTGACCTCAGGTCAGATTGTATCTCCCATGGTGCAGTGAGACTTCCGGTGACCCCTGACCAGTTCTATCGTTGTGTAGTTTGTGTACAAAGTTCTCGTTTCGCTTACAACATGTATCGTTTTTGGAAATAGACCCTCCAACAAACAAACAGAAGTCAAGCATTGATTGAATTCCGGCAAATAAGAAGTATGAGCATTCAAAACATACACATAAAACCGTTCCAAGCTGGAAGACCAAGTTCAAAGAATGGCTGGTCACCGATGACACTGGCAATCATATGGTGTATTGCCATATCTGCAGGGCTATTTACGGGCCATTATGAAACTGCAAAATACCAGACAAACTTTGTAAATACGGTAAGGAATCATTTGTAACCTGATGTACCAACTTAAAGACATGATGCCCCCACATGCCATGAGAGCAACAGTGACACAGACGTCTGAGATGCACAGTGTTCTGAATATGCATTTCTTTACAGCTACTTTGTTAAAATAAACTGTGTATAGTATATACAATTGTATACAACTTGTGTTTATTTGTGTGTATGTGTGCGAAAATAATTGTAAAACTTTTGAAAGATACCAGCCCTGATGTCTGGTATACAATCTGGACAAATTTCCTACACTGGTA